TCAGAACCCAAGTCTAAACTGGGTTAAGAGCTATAATTTAGAGCTATTAACTCCTAGTTTTGTCTTCCATCTACTAGGTCCAACCCTGGACAGGTACTAGAATTTATTAAAACCTTTTGTCAAATTGGTAGAGGAATGAAAATCAACTAAAGTATTTGCTCTGAGATGAGGGATTTCAGAACACTTGGAAAATCAGAGACCCCATGGCACTGTCTCACCTGCTCATTTAAAAGTGCAATCTGAGAAGTACGTATTCCATATTTTCTATGTTTTTGCTAATGTGAAATACAGTTTTTTAAACCACAGGAAACCCAGGGCTCTTCCAATGATGGATTTGGGAGGTGGAGAAGGCAAAAAAAGGAGAGAACATCTTCAAGTGGAACCATTTGTGTAAAAATGGAATGGAAATACTGAGATGCTTCAGAATGTTGAAACAACTACTGAACTGGAACCAGAACTCCCAATTTGGTTCTGCATGACCTTAGAAAAGTCACTGTTCTCTAGACATCAGTTTTCTTGTCTACTAAATTAGGGGATTGGATGAGAAGGTGTTTGAGCACAGAAAATGACTCCCCAGAGAATGGTGCTTTATCATGCTGAGCGCTTTGAAAATGGAAAACCTCAGAAATAAGCCTCATATCTAAGGTGAGCTCAGGAAAGATAGAAACCTTTTATGGAGCAGAAGGACAAAAACTCACTTGATCTTGATCTTCCGTATGACTGCAAATTGTGAAAGTGGGGCCTCATGATCCTTCTGACCTTTTAGGTTTTAAGCAGGAGGTGTCAGAAAAGTTAATAGAGAGATAACTGACTTGTGGCAAATATTTTATAAAATACCAAAAAGAAAGAAAGAAAGAAGCCTCACATTCTCTCTCTGACCTTTTCCTGCCTCCTGGTCTCTCTGATTCTTTTTTTGGAAGCACCTGAAGAAACTGGAATTTCCTTATCTAAGAAAGTTTTGTTCCAGAAAAAAAAAAAGCAATTTTCTTAAGACCTGCCTCACCTTAGGAATTTTATTAAATAGCCAGGAAATATCAACCCTGAGAAGCAAAAAGAATGGGAGTTGTCAGCATGCCCTGACAGAATTTTTATATGTTATCCTGAGGATAGCTGAGAGAGATTACCTGGAAGACTTTATCAGCATAATAAGACAACCTTTGTTCACAGTGAAGTTTCACCCTTCACCTTCCTAACTCCTCAGAGGAATTTTGTCATTTACTTCTACATTCCCATCTCCCTCCTCCTCTATATAGAAGGGTATATAAGCATCTATACTCCACTAGGCATGTTAGATAAGTCTGTATACCTCTTTCTCCTATTGATCTGACTTTTGTCAGTTCATTTTCAGGGAACTTTCAGAGGGTGAAGGGCAAAGCTCTCTCTTTGCTCCTACAATGGTATATATATATTAAATAGCTCTACAATGTGAACAAAGATACCAGATACTAAAGTCTTTTCTAAAACCTCGAATAGTAATTTAGAAAGATTTTGTTTTTAAAGACTGACCATAAGAAGTGAGTTCCAGGAGATAAGTTTTCTTGGCACTAGAGCTAACTAAGACTAGGGCAAGTTACTCGAGGGCACTTCAAGAGCACAGAGCTACCATGAAAACATGGGATACTTCTGGTTACTACTACTTGGGCACCTGGTGAGAACCCTCCTGCAACATCTCATCACATGTTCTTTCCTCTGGCCTTATCCTTCAAAGTTCAGTCAAATGAAACATTGCTTATAAGTCTTTTGTTGGACACAGAACAAGGTGGATGGGATATGTTAATTCAGAAGTTTTCTCCTAGGTAAGAGAGAAATTACATATAGGTAGTACCTATCTATTATCCTCAAGTTTATCAGCCCCTTTCCCAAAATCAGGTCAAGTTTGTAAACCAAAGGCATGCAAATTTGCAGCATGAGAGAAAAGCACTGTCTCTAAGACAAGCTCCATTCATTCTGCGGATGAAGGCCTAGGGCAAAGAATCCAAAGAAGAGGGAAGAGAAAGAGATAGAAAAAGAAAAGGCAAAGAACCCAAAGAAGAGGGAAGAAAAAGAAAAAGAAGTAGGGGGTGGGAGAAATGGGTATCCAGGAAGAGAAGGGGAGACTGGTAGAGAAGAAAATGCCAGGAAAAGAGAGTCCAGGTCTGCCCACCCCAGATATCTACTCCACCACGAGCCCTACAGCCAGTTATCTTTCTAGAACAGACATCTGATCACCTCATTGCCCTGCTATGAACACACACATTTTTACTAGCACATTCTAAGTTCCTTAATCAGCTAGCAGAATCCTCCTTGGCCTGGCACTAAAACCATGTGCCGTCCCATCTCTCCAGCCCAGGAACTTCAGCCACAGCCAGCTCCTCACAGGCTCTCTCAAGTCTCTGCTGTAGTACATTAAAAAAATGTTTAGGCCGGGCTCAGTGGCTCAGCCTATAATCCCAGCACTTTGAGAGGCCGAGGCGAGTGGATTGCCTGAGACACGGGCAGCTTGTTGAGACCTCGTCTCTACAATAAATCAAATATTAGCCAGGCGTGGTAGCACACGCCTGTAGTTCCGGCTACTTGGAAGGCTGAAGTGGAAGGATCGCCGGAGCCCAGCAGACTGAGGCTGCAATGGCTGGGAGCGTGCCACTGCACTCCAGTCTGGACAACAGAGTGAAACTCCAACTCAAAAAAAAAAATGTTTAAACTCTGCTGTGGATAACCATCTGTCGTGTCTCATCTTTTAAGGGACCACCCAGGGACCACTACTACTTTGACATTTTTCCCAACTACCTTTTGTGTATTGACCTTGTTTATCACATGGTATTTAATTAAGATTAATATAATTTTTCTTTTTTTTGAGTTAGAGTCTCACTCTGTCTCCCAGACTGGAGTTCAGTAGCTGCTCCCGGCCACCACAGCCTCAACCTGCTGGGCTCCGGCAATCCTTCTGCCTCAGCCTTCCAAGTAGCTGGAACTACAGGTGTGTGCTACCACGCCCATCTAATTTTTGATTTATTGTAGAGATGAGGTCTCGCTGCCCAGGCAGGTCACGAACCCGCGGGCTCAGGCAATCCACTCACCTCAGCCTCCCAAAGGCACGGGATTACAGGCTAACCCACTGGCTAGCTTAATTTAATTAACAAAAATGTATCCCCACCAGAGCCTTTCAGGATGGTTTGGAGATAGGAGCTTGGGTAAATTTATCTTTATATCTTTGGTCTCCATCCTATAGTTTGGCACAAAAGTAAGTACAAGAATGCTTAGGAGGAAGGAATAAATGAGGATAGAGGAGAATTAAGATAAAAGAAGAGGAATGGGAGAAGCAGGGAAAGAAGGAAGAACATAGTACATTCCTAAATTCAATCTGTTTCCATATCCACTGGCAGAGAAGTTGTTTTGATAACTTCCAGAATGTTAGTAACTCTAAATCTTATCAATGTCTCCTGCTGGGGTTTGTTTTACATACTTTAGAAACCCAGAATTAGGGTGAAGGAGAAATGTCATTTGGATTTCAGGGGACTGCTGGATGTTGGTTGCTAGCAAATAACTACTGATGACAACTTATAACTGCTTTCTGCTGCCTCTGGGGGCTCACACTGTCACTGCTAGGAAGAATGCCATCTATTGAAATGGAAAATCCACAGCAAGTCTTAGACAAAAGTGAAAATATCTCCCCCACAAAGGAAAACAAAAATGAACATTAATCACCTTTTGGCCAAAAGATTGCCAGATGAATGAACAATCTCTAAAACTGGCTTTCAAAAAATAAGATTATATTTAGAGGTCATCATTTCTTCCATGACTCCTTAAAGAAGAAATTTTCTTTTCACACAGCCTCACAGAATGATCTGGGCAACTACATTGTGTGGTTAAATTAGAAGTCCCAGGCTAGTTCCAGATCTACAGATGATTTTGTGTGTGATCTTGGTCTAATCATATAACCTAATAATCAACCTTAACTTTTTATTCCATGGTAGGAGGGATTTAGATTTCAGCTACATGAAGTTTTTTAGGGCTTATTTAATGCATAAAAGTCATCAATTCTTGTAGTAAAACCTATTTGTCCAAAGATCATATAATTCAAAATAATTCCTCTTTTTTTTGAAAGCAGGATTTATTGAGAGGACAGAAAAGCTCCCATAGTGGGTGGGACCCAAGGGGGTTGCCCCAAAGTAATTTCTTTTGTTCCCTCCTTTTGCTGTTAACATACTAGATACCTAAATAGTAAGTGAAAATCTGTTTCTTCGTGTTCTTAATGTTTTAAATTAAATTGAGCTCCATCAACTTGCAATTCATTATGCTGAAACCTTAACTCACTCCCATACTGCCCTAAAAGGGTTAAAGATATTTCCTTTGATGGTAAGTTTATAACCTGAGAAATAAATCAAGTCCTCTGATTATCAGGCATCAAATTATATTGTAAAGTTTTAAATACATATAGTCTGTTTAATTCTTTTATCCTTTTTAAGACAGGCTGGACATAAAGGCTTAGCAACCTAAAATGCTATAAATCAAATAACAAGATAGGCATAAAATGTCATAGTAAACTCACAAATCAAAGTAAAAAAAAACTTCAATTGCTTTTGACAAACTCAAAGGGCAGCTTCTTCCTGCTGGGAAGGATTAAGAAAGTTCAATTCTCTGAAGAACAGCAAATGATTAGCTAGAGCGACCCATCTATCTGTATGGGTCAACACTCCTTTCCGGACCAACAGAGCAAGAAAGAAATCAAGTCCCAGCACAGCAGGAAGCTGCCTGCCCGGGTTCCCCTTTCTGACGAGGCCATGTTATGACCACTCTTTATCCCATCACATCATTGCTACCTCTGTTGATTTTCTAACAGAGATTGGCAGTCTCTCTTGTACCCCAGAGCAACCCAGAAAGAGACCCACAAGCTGCTTAGCAAACTTCTCAAAAGCATTGATCCTAAGAATGTCAGCCAAAAAAAGAACAACAACAAAACAACAACAATGACAAAACTGATTAAGCTTTCACAGAAATCCTTAGAAGAGAATTCTGAGTACCTGGCCCCAGAATGGGGTGATCTGGGCTAGGTCATCTACCTCGGGGTGCGGTAGCTCATCTGGCCTCAGGGATTTTAGGTCTGCAGAAGTGTTATTATCCACAGTCCCAGTTTTAGGGTAGCTCCGCTCTCTCACTTTCTCCCTCCTGGAGCCGCTACGACCAGTCTGCTGGTGGCTTTGCACTATTCTCGCCACCACGTTATTAGCTCTTCCGCTCACCTCCATGTATTCATCTTGACACAGGCAAAATGGGAGGAAAAACAAAGCCAGCAGGTGCCAACAGATGAGCTGCCTTCCAAGCATGATTCTCGACGGAGCCTCAGAACCTCCTTGAGAAGACGGCGGGGCTCCAGGAGCGTGGTCTCCTCGGGCAAATGCCAGGGCTGGAGCTGACAGCTGCAGCAGCTGGGTGGTTTTATACTTTGGTGTGTAATAAATAAGGCTACAGGCACGCCAGAGTGACAGCAGCCCTCCTCCCCAGACAGAACAGCCCCCATTCATCATTTTCCCACACCACAGGCAAAACGGAATTGTGTGCACAGTCCCAGTTGGCCGGGTTCGTAAATGTCACACCTTGGCACGTTTTTGTTGAAGTGTGAAGAAAACATACACAACCAGCTGGAAACAGAGAGCATGTGTCCAGCCGCTTGCTTTCATGATTAGACATGGAAAGGCTATGCATTCGCAGTCTAAAATGCCTTTTGGAAAAACCCATCCCTGTGCTTGCCAGGAAATTCGGGCTTAACTGCATCAGCTCTGTCTGAAATGACAGTGGGAACCCATTCAGGGCCATCAAGAGCTCTTGCTCTGTAGTCTTTCGATTAGTACTTCCCCACTTTGGCCCACTTAAAGGAACTTATTTCCCCTTCCGGATACCAGCAGCGGAAAGATACTCCCAAACACTCAGCTAAATTCAGGTGTAGAGTCTCTGGGTTTAGCAAAACTATTTCCCCATCTTAAGCTTTATTTTCTTTTCCCTTGAATTTCCAAAAGCCAAAGTTACATGAAAGTTAACCAAGTGATTTGTCACATGAAGATACAGCACCCTGCTATGTGTTAAGAGAAGATCATCTCTGGCTATTCTTTCTTTGGACATAGTCCTGATTAAAATCGAAGAAATAAAAAGTGCCAAGCTAAACACACTATTCCCAAACACAGCATATCAGGATCGAGTGAATTATCATTTATTTTGTTTTCGTTGCTATACTTTCATTAATTTGGCCAAAAAGCAAATGGACACTTCAAACCTCACCATGACAATAAATTAAGAGAATTTACATAGCTTTGTCATTGAAAATTGTTTCTGGCCTGATGTGATGGCTCATGCCTGTAATACTAGCATGTTGAGAGGCTGATGTGGGAGAATTGCTTAAAGCCAGGAGTTTGAGACCAGCCTGGGCAACATAACAAGACCTTGCCTCTACAAAAAAAAAAAAAAAAAAAAAAAAAATTAGGCAGGCACGATGGTGTGTGCCTGTAGTTCCAGACACTCAGGAGGCTGAGGTGGGAGGATCGCCCAGGAGGTTGAAGCTGAGGTGACCTGTGATTGTGCCACTGCACTCCTGCCTGGGTGACAGAGGAAGATCCCAATTCAAAAAATAAAATCAAATAAAAATTTTAAATTGTTTCTATTTACATATGATTTTATTTATGTTGTTCCATTCACTCACGAAAAAGTCGCTGGTCCTCTCCTGTGAGGTTTAGAGAGACACTGGGACCTTAAAGAGGATGGGTCTGATGCAAGTGTCTGATGCAAACGATGGTGGCACTGTAAGAAAACCAGGCTTGGAGAAGGCCAGCCTGCTGATGAAGAAGCAGAGCAGATGGAGACAGGAGAGACGAGGAAACTGCTGACAGCTGTCTCCTAACTCAGCCACTGGCTTGAGAACCAAGAGCTGTCTCCGGAAGTGGCCAGAATGGGCAAAAGTTGGGCTGGCCGCTCTTGCGACTTCCAGACTAGCTGCCTCCAGAGCCCACAATGATACAGAGAAAACATTTGATGCTGTAGATGGAGTAAGAGAGTTATTCTATGAAATAAAAACTCTCTAGGTCACAGTGTAGGAGCCTTAGGAGTCATGCTCAGTGAAAGCAAATATTTCCCAACTATTGGGACATAAAAAAAACTCAGCCATTCCCATTCTACAAGTCTACTCTCAGGCGACTAAACTTTCCTCACTGCAGGATTCCTTGAGTTCTGGGATGTGCACTGTTGAAAGGCAGATACCCCTGGGAAGGGCGGCACATCAAGCTGTTATCCAACATTAACACTTACTGAGGATTTCCTTCGCAGACCTGGAGACGGCTTGGAGGATGAGCAAGTGAATGGGGTTTTCCTGTAGAAAGGAAGGCCCAGTGCAGCAATTCCATCGGGATGCTTCCTCATCCGAAAGGCCTGGAGAAGATGTCACAGGAAGACCACAAAGCTAGCAATGGCTCTGAAAACTAGGTCACTGATTCGCAAGTTTTCTCAGAGCTGTGTCTGGCTTTTGCCATCAGGTATCTCCCATGGTATGAACTGTCTGGTTAAGTAATTGCAAATCAGCCTCTCTGACTTTCCACTGCATTGAGACTTTCCATTCATGTATTCAATCCTGTCATCTATTTTCTAGTGGTTCTCAACCCTGACTGCATATTAAAATAAACTGGGGAATGTCTAAAAATATCAGTGCCTGGATCCCATCCCAGACCAATTGAGTCAGAATCTCTAGTGGGGCTTACACACTAGGAATTTTTAAAAAGTTTCTCCAGATGATTCAACTGTGCATTCAGGGCTAGAAATCACTGACCCATCCTCTCCTCGATACAAAAGGAATAAATAATAATATATAATTTGCTAAGCCTTCACTGTGGACCAACCAAGTATTTCTTTGCTTTATCTCACCGACTTCTAAACTCAGCAAAGCGATTATTCTGTCTTACAGGTGAGAAAATGGAGAGGTAACGTGACTTGCCTGGTGTTACACAGTTGGAAAGGATGGGACTCCATTTATCTTTTTAGAGTGTCCTCTCCGGCCTTCCTACAGAGAGGCAGGGAGAGATTAATTGCAGGCCAATGGCTGAAAGAAGGAGGCTGGTCTGAGAGCTCCCAGGGTGTCTGCCCACAAGAATCTGGGGTCAGGGAGTACTATGGGTTGGGTTGTGTTCCCCAAAAATATGTTGAAGTTTTAACCTCTAGAACTTGTGAGTATGACCTTTTTGAAAATAGGGTCTGTTAAAGTAAATTAAAATGGAGACTAGACCTGAAGAATCCCTGAGCAGACAAAGCTGGGTAGGCCTCATAAGTGACCTAAACCTTGCTTTGTTTGCAAACTTAAGCATAACTTTACTTGATCTACTTTTTATAAATGCCTATATTCAAGAAAAACAGAATATAAGCTCAAGCAGTCAGAAATTTTCCAACAGGATATGCCAAACAAGGCCACTGTATATCTGCAACCAAGCAAATATTTTATTTGTTTTACTCCTGCCTTTGTTCTATAAACACTTCCCCTCTGCCCGTTCTTGTTTTTCCTCATTGGAGCTACTGAACCTCTTCTGGTTTGGAGTTGCCCAATTCATGAATTGTTATTTGTTCCAATAACTCTTTAAAATGCTATTGTGCCCCCATTACTTTTTAACAGGTCTTTATAAATGATCAGCTTAAAAGAGGTCAATAGGGTGGACTATAACTCAATATGACTGCGTCCTTGTAAAAAGGGGGACTTTGGACACAGAGACAGACATGCACATAGGGAAAATACCATGTGAAAATGAAGGCAGGGATTAGGGTAATGCATTTACAAGCCAAGGAACACCAAAGATTGCCAGAAGACCACCAGAAGGTAGATGAGAGGTAAAGAACAGATCATTCCCTGATAGCTCTCAGGAGACACTAACCCTGCTGACACCTTGATCTCAGATTTTGAGCCTCCAAAACTGTGATGCAATAAATTTATTTGTTTAAGTCACCTGTTTTGTGGCACTTTGCAATGACAGTCTTAGCAAACAGATGCAAACAGCGTATGCAGGGCGGAAGAATCAGATCCTACTATCTTGCACAAGAGGAAATGGTAGTCTGAAAAGATTTAGCTAATTGTTCAAGTTCATGGGTGGTGAATGTTAAACTTAAGACGGAGAAGAGTCACCAGTCCTTCAGTATAGGCTTTTTTTATTTTTACTTCCCTCCAGGACTTTCCAATTTAATACACTTAAACCTTAGTTTATTGCTAAATCTTACTTGGGGCTATCATTTCCTACATGCTCCAGGATGCCTGGTTTTCAGAGATGTGAATAGGAATTGGACATAATCTCTTGCCTATGAGTTGAATATTAAAATCATCTAGAATCTGCCTTAGACAAAATTCCAGGAGGGGATGGAGTCCCAGTTCTGCACAGCTGTCTTTGGTTGTAAAAGTTCACAAAGGACACCTGGGGACACCAGGCTCCTAAGACACACTGGAACTGGGACTGCTACCGCATCCTGATTCCCTCGGACACAAGGGTCCAGACAGGATGTTGGGACAGTCACTAACGTGAGCAGCAGAAGTGTAGATGCATTTGAATATATGTGTAAAAGCCGAGTTCCATGACTCAGCTTTGCAAGGCAGAGGCAAATATTTGTTTAGCTTTACAAAGGAGGCTGTTATGAGATGTGTAGGTGCCCTGTGGCCTCCCCCACGGTGCTTCAATGTGGCCTGAGCCAAAAAGAGATCAGTTATGGTTTGGCTAAGGGACAGTCAAGAACTGTGTTAGATTGAACGTGTCTTTATATCAGTGCCAACTTAAAGCTAAAGAAGGCAACTAATGAAAGCAACTGTTTGCGTGATTTTCAGGAGCAGTTGGAGTGTAGCATACACCTTCCTTCCCTCTTCCCACTGAAAAATATTCCTTGTACTCAGCACAGTGGATTCTTACATTCTAAAATCAAGGCTTAATTCCTTTTATTTAAATCAATTAGGAATTTATTAAAATACAAATAAAATTAGAGAGATGAGGGAGTTAACTGTATTGGTTATTTATATCTTAATGTTGAAGGTTTTTTCAGTTCCTTTACAAAGAAGTTTTCTTTGGAGAAGAATTAAAAGAAAGAATCATAGTGTGTTCAGAGAGGTGACATTGCCTCCTGATGTGAGCTACTATCATTTGAAGAAAAACAGGTTCCCATTTGTAGCCTATAGGGGGCAAAATCAGGGGAAGAACTTAAGAGGAAGTTGGTTGATTAGTCGGGGTGTTCTCATTTTGGTGGAATTACATCTGTAGAGTTTGGACCTCTTTAGACAAGTGCAGGAAACTTATTGTCAGTGTGCCAGAAATGGATCTGTCTCTATGGCCAAAATAAGGCTTTCAGAGACTGATGTATAAAAACAAGCATCCAAATGTATTTATTTATAATGAAAAATATAACTCAAGTTGATTACATGTTTGCTGAACAACAAATTCACTCAGTAGGCAACTCCATGTGAGAAGTCAAATTTTAATCAGAGATGCATGTGATAAGCATGATATTATGTGTGTATATTTGAAAGATAATTTATTGAATAATATTATATTA